TTGACCGAAGACAATTTACGCTCACCATGTGTGACTATTAGGGAGAATGCAACCCCCCCCCCCCCCCGGTAGTTTTTTTTTGGTAGAATTAAAATTGCAAAATGAATTGCATTGTCCATAATATTTTCTAATGACCAAACAAAAATGATCACAAAAAATATGCACAATATATATTCACATACGATCAGAATTTATGGTGTAAAATAATTTCAGTCAGTGGGTCAGTAGGAAAATGGTCAAACTTAAGATATTCATTATTATCTTTTTTGAATGCATTTGTTTGAATGCTCTGCCAAGTGTATATGAATATATATTTCAAGTATGACATGTCTATTTTTCCCATAGCATCAATGACACAAGTTTCCTAAAACAGATATACTCTTATGAATATATACAGACCTTAAAGTTGATCTGTGCTGCTAATTGCTGTGCTTCCTGGTTTTCTTGTTGTGTTGTGGTGGAATGAGGATTTGGTTCTTTTAATACACCTTTCATTGTTATATCACAATCTTTACATTTCCATTCCTGCGATCTATAAGAATTAATTTATTGAAATACGACATCCTACAGATTACCGTAAAATCTGTATTAGAAGCCGCATCCCTAATAGAAGTCACACCTAATCTTTTTGTACAATTGAGAACCAAAAATTCATCATTTCTCATATGTGTAGATGCTCTAATAGAAGCCGCATCCCCTCTGTTGCATTGTACCATTTTAATAGAAGTCGCGGCTTCTAATACAGATTTTACAGTATATAGTCCTTAAAAAAGGAGATTATACATAAATAGTTGTAATGCTACCCTTGTTCCATCTTCGCCAGCCAAGAACATTTGTTTTGGGTCACTCCTCTAAACTAACCCTTAGCAGATTAAACAACAACTACAGTGTGTATTTCATAGATGCCCTTAACGACAAGGAGGGGAGATGCAACAAAAATAAACAGCCAATCAGCTATTTTGTATCAAAATACAGTGGAGCGAGTTTTTTTTTTAAATGGGGAACAGATCACAAGCCTCAACAGTCACGAAAACCATGCAATTGAGGAATTACTAGCTGCAAAAAGATGAGAACAGGGAGTGGCAATTATCAGTCAAGTAGAGTTTTTGAGATTTTTTCCAGAGTTGACAGGTTCGTTCCTTTGTTAAAACATGGTCAACATAAATATTTGTCACTTTGCTGACGAGGTATGCCACAAACATCCTGCAACATAATGGCATAAAAAACTTTTGGGGTTCCAATCGGCGCATCCAATCAAACTTGGCCATTTGTTTAACATAAAATACATGTTTAACCAGGCTAATCCCACACGGGTTTTTCGAGTCGACACCAACAAACCATGTGATTCAGACAATGCCCTTGTTCATACCATGAATGCAGTCCAGCTATACCACATACACACCAACTCATGATAACCTTATGTTACTACTACTACTGACAGAAAACCAAATGTCAATCTCACAAACACTACTGACAGTCAACATACCGCTTTGCTAATAATTTTCTTTCATCTGGAGTATAATCCAGTGATCCGATAGCACCATGTCCGTGTGTCGGCATAAAACCGATGATTGCTAAGAGAACAGTACGAACTGAAAATAATACATGAATTGGAAGTTATTGATTAAAAACTATAATCCAACAAATGTCAAGATGTTGACACCCTGGCACAAAAAGGGACATGGCTGACATTTTTTAAGAATAAATTGAAATTGTAATTTAAAAGTAAATTTATAATACCTTAAAATGTGTAATTATATATGCAGCAAGTTTCATTGAAAAATGTTGAGTAGTTTTTGAGATATCAGTGGAACATCTGATAATTTATCCATTTGCATCGATTTCTACCACGTCTGTGGATCATCCCAAACTACTATGTAACATGATTAGTGATTCTTGAGACACGCACACATTTCAAAAGTAAACTAACTTGTTATGATAGATGGATTGCACGGAAAGCAGTATATTAAAACATACACATGTTACTACAAATGTATTAGCAAATACTTACTACTCCAAGATGGCTGCCATGTTTCTGGATGATAACCGGATATAGAAAGACATATTTTTTTACCGATTTCAAATCTACCATTTGGCTGTAATTAAATTTGTGAGTAATTATAATAAGGGATATGCTATGTACGAACAAAACATTCATGATCCACATTCATATATTGCTGATGCAACAAAACTTGTATTAATCACAGATGAAACAAGCAAGCATGAATCAATCAACCACCAACATTACTTTCTTTTGAGACGCCACCAAACCATCACCCTTATCCTCCAAATCCTAGA